GATCGAGATTAGACGACGATACGTTAGATCATATTTGTTTTTAATATCTTATTTTAGCTCGCATAAGCAATTATAATAAGTATTTTAATTTATGTAATTATATGATATTAATTTTATTAGGTCTATTTTTTTATATTTGTATAAGTAACTTTCAATTATGTTCACATTTAAAAAAAAATATTAATACCGGTTTACCCTGTTTTAAAAGTCGAAAATATCGAAATACCGGTATTTAAATTTTTATCGGTATTGCCTTTCCTAGTTTTTATAGTAGTCCTTTATGGGTGATTGTATATATTATCTGCTAAATAAATTCATAATATTATGTATTTTTATATTGCCAATAGTGAATTGATTGAATTAGTGAAAAGTGTAGTAAACAAAATATATTTGTGAGATTATTAAAGTTTATTTTTATTAAATATTAATAGTATAGTTATTAATATAAATAAAATTAAATAGTATAGTCATTAAATATTATTTATTAAATATAAATAGTATAATATGATTGAATTTAATTTCGCCTCGGACCGTCGTAGGGTCTACACGTCTCAACACGTTCGCACCGGCGCGGGTCACCGGTGACCCACACTAAACTGTCTCATCGGGCGGCGCGGGTCACCGGTGGCCCACACTAAACTGTCTCATCGGGCGGCGCGGGTCACCGGTGACCCACACTAAACTGTCATTAAAAACATTTATTTTTAATGTAATTATAATCAAAAATGTATCAGAACTATAAGTTTTGTTCAATAACAAACATAATAATACAGTATTATACACAAAATTCAAATACGGTTAAAATAACATAAAATCTAATATTGTTTGAATGAACACTCGTTCTCTTCATTGATAAAATTAACAAATCCTCGTCTGAAGAGGAAGAAACTATTCGTAATCTTGCCACTTTTCTTTTCTTGCTTCTAATTATAGATTCATCGAATCACTTATTTCCATATCTATGTTATCCATTTTTTATAAGGGTAAAAATTAAAAAACATTCTAATAATCACCTTTCTAATTATTTTACTGTCGGAAATTTGTGGTCAGAAGAAAAAAAAACGGCACAAGTTACAAAACTTGCACAATAAGATCTCACTGTACTGCAGAGCAACAAACAACAAGGCGTATGCAGGTCCTGAATAGGCAATAATCACGCGCCGCCAGATGAAGCGCGATGTCATTTCAGCGCCGCCTCATAACAAAACAAACGAAAATCGGCCCCGGCGTGAACGTGTTAAATATAAATATATTATTTAATTAAATTTATAAAAACCTATAAATCTCAAAATGACTAAGTGTAATCCTACAAAAAAGATTAATATAGTATACAGACTTTGGGACATTTCCCATAATGTAAATTTGGGTTTATATTGAAACACACTTTGTAATTCAATAATTTATTTCACTTATTAGTAAGATTTCATAATATTATCTTTGCTTAATTTGACTGGTTTCGCGAGTCGGGCGGTTAATTATAGTAACAAACTTAAGAGAAATTTGACTGCTTTCGCTCGTCATGCGGGTACTTTTTATGTGCTTTCTTGGTGACGCTTAAAGTTGTACTACTTAAAATTATACCTAATATTTGGGTAAATATTTTTTATTGCCCTGTATGAAGCGAACAGCTTTCTGCTTGTACATTGTTGCAGTTTTTGAATATTGGAGCAGCAATTCGCTCCATACTGGGGGCCCCAACCGCCAACAATCATGGCTTATATCAGATCTTAAGATATTTGATCAAATTAAGATTTAAATTAAAACTTAATAAACATATAAAACTTATTAATTATGTGATGATCAAAATTAAAAATGTTTTCTAAAACTTTAATTTAATAAACTATCATTTTTATTTATTCTACTCCTTAATGCTATGATCAAATGAAATAAAACTTATCACTAATTGCTTTTTAATTAAAATTGAAAACTTATGTTATATCAAATAATTGAAATTTGAAATTGAAATAATCTTATAATTACGTTCTTTATTTTTACATATTAAATGGAAGTGGGCATAATTTTGTGATAGGCCGAGTATATAACCCTTTTGCTGTTTAATTATTGCGACTCGTATTTTATCGTCTGGTTCCTTTTTTGTCTCAACTACTTTTGCAATATTCCATTGGAGAGGTGGTATATGGTCCTCTTTCACTAAAACTATTGTTCCATTCTGAAGATTTGGGTTGGTTTTATACCATTTTTTACGTCCTTGTAGTTGTTTTAAGTTATTGACATCTTGCCAACATTTCAAGATATCATTATTACATTTTGATTGGGGCTCAGGAAATGAGGCTATCACATCATTAATTAAAAAGTGTCCCGGGCTTAAATATCCGCAATCCGTAACGTCATCGGAAACAGCTATCAATGGACGCGAATTTACTATGGCTTCTACTTGGGTTAGAAATGTGTAATACTCTTCAAATGTTAATATTGTGTTGCCTATTACTCTGCGTATGTGCAATTTACTAATTTTATAGCCCCTTCCCAAAGACCGCCAAAGTGTGGAGCATGAGCTGGAATGAATTTCCATTCGATGCCCTCCACTGATACGGCTTCAATTAATTTGTTTCTTTCTTGTTCATTCTTAAAATATTTAAAAGTTCGTGTAAATGGTGCTTTGCCCCTACAAAATTTGTACCATTATCACTATGAATCGTGGCGCAGCGACCTCGTCGAGATATAAAACGTCTTAAAGCGGCTATGAATGCATCTGTAGACAAACTTGTTACTAACTCTAAATGTATCGCCTTGGTAACAAAACAAATAAAAAAAGCGCAATGTACGATTTGATTAGGGAGCCTTGCGCAATCTACTTGATTTTAGCATAATTGGGCCGGCGTAGTCGGTTCCTACGTTTAAAAAAGGTCTTACTGGATTAATTCTGCTTAGTGGTAGATCGGACATCAATTGTGTTTGTGTTGTTACTCTGAATTTATAACAAGTGACGCAACTATGAATAACCTTTTAAACCTCTCTTCTACCATTTATCGGCCAGTATTTAAGTCTTATATTAGCGAGAGTAGTTTGGGTTCCGCATGTAGTAAACGCAAATGTTCTTGCCTAATAATCATTGTTGTTATTGGATGCTTTGCTGGTAAAATTATCGGGTGCATTTGATCGTATGGAATATTTGCACGCCGTAGTCTCCCGCCCACTCGCAATAAATCGTTCGCACCTACAAACGGATTCAGTTTGATCAATGATTTTTCAAAAGCGTTGGACGAGTTTTGATTAATATCTAACTTAGTTAATTCTTTATTATAAACTTCCTTTTGTAATTGCCGTATAATCGTATATTTTGATTCATTTAATTCATAAATTTCGAGCGGACCTAATTTTTTATTATTTTTATTTATTTTTTTATATTAAAAATAAATCTAGAACAATATGCTACAACTCTAATCATTTTTGTAAAATTTGAGAATCTATATATATAAAAGAGGATCGCCTTATGTGCTACCACTTATAACTCACGAACGGCTGAACCGATTTAGATGAAAATTGGCAGGGAGGTAGTTTAGAGTCAGGAGAAGGACATAGACATTCTTTTTATCCCTTTATTTCATTCTAATTTAAATTAATTATTTATAAACTATCCATGTAGTTTTATTCAGTCTATGATACTATCAATGATTTCATCCATGACATTTGCATTCGATTGTCAAATGTCATTCGGTGTTTCTAACCTCTATTACCTCATGTTGAATATTAGTTAGTGAATGAATATTAGTTCTTGGTTTTTATATATATATATTATATATATATATATATATATAAATAAGGTGAAGTGAAGTTTCATTAATAATGCCGCGACCAAGACGATCGAATCTTTCCCGACAAAGCAGTAATGCAAGAAGACTGCAAAATACGGTAAATGCAAGAACTGAAGAACAAGAAAGAATTGCACGTGAACAGCAACGCGAAAGAATGGCTCGACTTCGTGCTCGAGGTAACAACATAGATCAACAAATAGTTAACTTGCGATGCAGAAGAAGAAATTTGAATCGAGAAGCATTTCAATACGATTGCAGCTATGATTATAGCTTGCATCCTAGCGTCTGCATTGGCAAAATGGACGTAGTTTGCAAGTATTGTGGTGCATTGAAGTTTTCCCAAGATGGCCTGGATTATGCTGCCTTAATGGTAAAGTCAAATTGCCATCGTTGACTCCGCCACCTGAACCATTGTATTCATTGCTTTGTGGCGAAACACAAGAATCACGCCACTTTCTTGCTAATACTCAAAAATACAATGGTTGTTTCCAAATGACGTCATTTGGAGCAGATATTATCGAAGAACGAGGATTTAATCCGACATTTAAGGTACTTATTTTTGTACCTATATAGAATGTAGTTAAAGAATAACTTACTTCATCTATTAGCAAATTCTTACTTTTTCTCCCCACCGAAAAAAGATTTTATAACACAGTTAATACTGTCGGGTTTTTATTTTGTAGATACAAGGACAAATTCATCATCGAATTGGATCATTACTACCTTTTGAAGATACACAGAATAAATTTTTACAAATATATTTCATGGGCAACCGGGAAGAACAACTTGATCGACGACTAGAGATCAATGCAGGAATGAAGCGAGCAATTCTTCAAGACTTACAGTGTCTGCTTCATGAACATCATGCGTTGGTCTGGTTGTTTAAGAGTGCTTTAGAGCTCATGCCAAGCGATGACTATAAAGTTGTCATCAGAGCAGATAAACGACCATCTGGAACACACGAAAGGACATTTAATGCTCCAATAGTAGACGAAGTTGCCATCCTGATTGTTGGTGAACAATTGGAAAAACGCGATATTGTGCTTTCACGTCGCGACACTGGGCAACTGCAACAAAAATCTGAAACACATCGATCATATGACTCATTGCAATACCCGCTGATGTTTTGGCAAGGAGAAGATGGATATTATTTTAATATTAAAATGAAAAATCCATTGAATGGTGAGAATCAGTATCATAATTTATTTCATTTATTTGTGAAAGACTCCGCTTTAAAATAAAGCTTTTTTAAAAAATAATCAATGTCTGTATTGTTTGCCTTTAAAATTTGCCTATAAAATGAATAATTTTCAAATTTTAAATTTCAGGCGAAGAAACTACAAAGAATGTTAGCTCAATGAATTATTACGCATATTGTTTGATGATTCGTCATAATGCTGACAACTATTTGCTGCGGTTTCGTCGATTGTTTCAGCAATATTGCGTTGACATGTATGTAAAAATAGAAACGGAACGTTTAAATTTCATTAGGTTCAACCAAGCCAAACTGCGTTCTGAGGAGTACATCCATTTACGTGATGCAGTTAGTACTGAAGGAAATGCAGCTAATATTGGCCGATTAACTATTCTGCCGGCGACATACATTGGTAGCCCACGACATATGCATGAATATGCACAAGATGCAATGACATATGTTCGTCATTACGGTCGACCAGATCTTTTCATAACTTTTACCTGCAACCCAAAATGGATAGAAATTACTGAATTGCTGCTTCCCGGACAAACATCAAGTGATAGGCACGACATTACAGCACGTATATTCAGGCAAAAAATTCGGTCCCTGATGAACTTTATTGTTAAAGAGCGCGTCTTTGGAGAAACTCGATGCTTGATGTATTCAATCGAATGGCAAAAGCGAGGCTTGCCACACGCACACATTCTTATTTGGTTAGTGGAAAGAATTCAGCCTGACCAAATAGATGATATCATATGTGCCGAGATTCCTGATTATGAAGTCGATCCAGACCTACATGATGTTGTTACTTCTAATATGATTCATGGACCGTGTGGTGCCATCAATCCCCAATCACCTTGCATGGTCGATGGAAAGTGCTCTAAACGATATCCACGGAAATTAACAGCGGAGACTGTCACTGGCAATGATGGTTATCCGCTGTATCGTCGTCGATCACCAGATGACAACGGTCAAACTGTCACAACGAAAGTGAAAAGAATGGATTTCGTTGTTGACAACAGTTGGATTGTTCCATATTCGCCACTCATTTCTAAAATGTTCAAGACGCATTGCAACATTGAATACTGTAATTCAGTTAAGTCCATCAAATATATTTGCAAATATGTCACGAAAGGCAGTGATATGGCTGTTTTTGGATTGCAATCCTCGAATGACAACGATGAAATTTCACGCTATCAAGTTGGTCGTTATGTGAACTGTAATGAAGCGATTTGGCGTATATTCGCATTTCCCATTCACGAACGTCATCCTACTGTTATGCATTTGGCGGTGCATCTGGAGAATGGTCAACGAGTATATTTTACGGCTTCAAATGCTATGCAACGTGCTGAAACACCTCCAGCAACTACATTAACCAGTTTTTTTGCAATTTGTCAAAGAGATCAGTTTGCACAAACTTTGCTTTACTCGGAGATGCCACGTTATTATACTTGGAATGCTTTATCGAAGAATTTTCAAAGACGGAAGAAAGGCAATGCGGTTCCTGGGTATCCAGATGTGCGTTCTACTGAAGCTCTTGGTCGAATGTATACAGTTCATCCAAAGAATATTGAATGTTTTTATTTGCGGCTGTTGCTGGTAAATGTGCGTGGGCCAACGTCATTTGAGTCACTACGAACTGTTAATCATGTAATATTTCCAACATATCGTGCTGCATGTGAGGAATTGAAATTATTAGAAAACGATAGTCATTGGGATACGACAATCGCTGAAGCCATTATCTCTGCATCTCCAAGCCAGATACGCACATTATTCGCTATAATTATTTCGACATGTTTTCCATCAAATCCATGTAACCTGTGGCACAAATACAAGGACAATATGTCAGAAGATATTTTACATCAAATTCGTGTTAGTTCTAGAAATTTCGATATTGAGATGAATGAGGAAGTACACAATCGTGCTTTACTCTTGATCGAAGATATCTGTTACCTCATGTGCGGTAATTTATTAATCAGGTTAGGCATGCCAGCACCATGTCGTGAAATGAATGACACATTTAATCGAGAATTGGAACGGGAACGTGAATATGACCACCAGGAATTAGATTTAGTAGTTCAAACAAATGTTCCCCTGTTGAATTGCCAACAAAAGGAAGTTTATGATACTTTAATGAAGGCAATCGATGATGAAAATGGTGGTTTATATTTTCTAGATGCTCCTGGTGGAACTGGCAAGACATTCCTCATGTCATTAGTTTTAGCAAGTGTTCGGGCGAGATCAAACATAGCGGTTGCAGTTGCTTCTTCTGGAATAGCAGCCACATTGTTAGAAGGATGCCGTACGGCTCATTCTGCATTCAAATTACCGTTAAATCTTCAAACTATTGAAGAACCAACGTGTAATATTGCAAAACACTCAGCAATGGCCAAAGTTTTAGCGGTATCGAAAATCATCATCTGGGACGAATGCACAATGGCGCATAAACGTGCATTAGAAGCACTTAACCGAACATTAAAAGATTTACGCAATGACTCAAGATGTTTCGGAGGAGCAATGATTTTACTGTCTGGCGATTTCCGCCAAATACTGCCAGTAATTCCAAGATCTACAGCTGCCGACGAAATAAACGCTTGCCTCAAATCGTCAAATCTATGGCGCTATGTGAAGAAACTGCAACTGACAACAAACATGAGAGTTACATTGCTTAATGATACATCTGCTGAAGTTTTCTCGAAGCAATTGCTGAGTATCGGTAATGGTCAAGTACCTGTCGATGAATCGAGCGGATTAATATCATTTCCAAACAATTTTTGTAATTTTGTCTCATCAAAAGACGAACTTATCAACAATGTATTTCCAGAAATTGTTTCTAATAGCAAAAATAATGAATGGTTGAGTGAGCGGGCAATTTTAGCAGCAAAGAATAAAGATGTAGATGACCTAAACCACATAATTCAAAATAAAATAATTGGAACAATGCTTTCATTCAAATCTATTGATTGCGTCACAAATGAAGATGAAGCCACCAACTATCCAATTGAATTTTTAAATTCTTTGGACGTGCCTGGCTTACCACCGCACAATTTACTCCTAAAGGTTGGCTCCGTAGTAATAATGCTTAGGAACATAAACCAACCAAAACTGTGCAACGGTACGCGTTTGGTGGTTACAAAATTGATGAACAATGTAATTTACGCTACCATAATGATAGGAAAATTTAAAGGTGAGGAAGTTCTCATTCCGAGAATACCGATGATCCCAACCGATCTGCCGTTTGAATTCAAAAGAATTCAATTTCCAATACGTCTCGCATTTGCCATGACCATCAACAAATCACAAGGGCAATCCTTAAAAGTTTGTGGTTTGAATTTGGAACATTCATGTTTTTCCCATGGTCAACTATATGTGGCATGTTCACGGGTCGGAAAACCATCTGCGTTGTTTGTTTTTGCGCCTGATAACAAAACAAAAAATGTTGTGTATAAGAAGGTACTTCAATGAAGAGGCACTAAAATGAATAAATCATTATGAATGATTAATGTTGCTATTTTATTTCTATTTTTATTTTTTCCATTAAAAAAAAAGCTTATTTATTGCCATTATGGCGGAACAAAGTTCGCCGGGTCAGCTAGTTTATTATAAATTAAATGAAAAGAGCTTTTCTGTGTTGCAACCAGTGTCACAACTGATTTTCTTTTATCTGGCAATTCTATATTATCGCGAATTGTAAACTTTTTTGGCCAATTATTCGAATTTGTGAGCCAATCCGGACCGTTCCACCATAAAGCTGAATTTTGTAAATCTAACGGTGTAATTCCGCGACTTATTAAATCCGCTGGATTCTCTTTGGAAGGAACATGTTTCCAAGTGGCGTGTGATGTAAGTTTTTGAATTTCCGATACTCTGTTTGCAACAAAGATTTGCCACGTACAAGGCTCGGAATTTAGCCATGATAACGTTATACTTTATACTTTATACTTGATACGTTATACTTTATTTTCTCTCCATAATTGCTGCATAATAAGTTTCGAAGTTATAACTACCGGAGTAATGAATCCTAACGGATCGAATATGCTAGCTATAGATGCTAAAATTTTTCGTTTGGTTTGTATATTGTCTATAGCTAAAACGTTGTTATAAATTTTAAAATTATCAGATGTAGGTTGCCATATAACCCCTAAAGTTTTAATTATCTTTTCTTTGTCAAACCCTACATTTATATTTTCACCTATATTCTTATCATTAATTAATTCTATATTATTGCTTGACCACTTATGCAATTCAAACCCCCCTTCGGCTAGGAGATCATTAATTTCGGTTATTAATAATTTTGATTCTTGTAAAGTGTCTGCACCGGATATTATATCGTCCACGTAACAATCTGACTGTAGAATTTTGGACGCTTTTGAATATATTTCATTATAATCTATAGCTAACTTTTCAAGGCATTTCATTGCTAAATATGGCGCGCAATTAGTGCCATACGTTACGGTATTTAACTTATAGCATCCTACAGGCATTCCGGGCGCCTCACGCCATAAAATTCTCTGGTAGTCCTGATGTTCGGATTTAATTTTAATTTGACGAAACATCTTGACTATGTCCGCCGTAAATACATATCTATGTGTCCTAAATCTAATTAATATGGTAAACAAATCTTTTTGTAAACGCGGTCCCGGTAGCAGTATGTCATTCAAAGATAGACCATTTGAAGATTTTGGCGAAGCGTCAAAAACTACTCTTAATTTTGTTGTTAAACTAGCTTCACGAACTATCGCGTGGTGTGGCAAATAATAAAAATTATGTTTGTCTAAATTACGATTTTCATTTTCTATTTGAATTTTGTCAATCTTTGTTGCGTGGCCTAATCTTATGTATTCTCTTATAAAATTGTCGTAATCTGCCGCAAGTTTTTTATTATTTGTTAATCTTTTTTCCAAATTCATAAATCTTTTGTACGCTTGTGAATAAGTGGACCCAAGAGAAATACGCGGATCGCTTCTAAATGGTAACGCAACTTCAAATCTACCATTTGAATCCCTACTGACGTTTTGTTCAAATATGTCTTCTGCTCGTACTTCCTCCTGCGACAAGATACACCTTTCATTTAATTCCTCTATTTTCCAAAACTGTTTTAATTGGTCAGTTATATTTTCCTCGGTTGTTAACCCTACGTGCGCAAAAAAAGTCTTATATTCTACCGGACCGCAAAATGACCAACCAAAACTAGTGTTAAATAATTTTATTTGGTTTTTCAATTTCATTTGCTCATTTTTTAAACTTTCAAAAAATATTTCTGCACCTAATATTAAATCTATTTGTCTCGGCGAGTTGAAATTGGGATCGGCTAATATGCAATTTTTCGGTATATCCCAATTTGATATGTCAACGCGTACTCCCAGTAAATTATTTGCGATATTTTGCATAACGGTACAATCTAAAGTTTTAGTATAATTGCTAATCCTGGATGCGACTTGTAGAGTTACCGAACCTAAAACATTGGCATTTATACCGCCTATCCCGCCAACCGTTATATTTGCTTTCTTATAGGTTAATTTTAAATTTTCTGCTAGAGACTTTGAAATAATATTTATCTGTGAACCAGAGTCTAGAAGAGCGCGCGCTGTGGTTGTAGTTCTATCGTTTGATACAAGCACTAGAACTGTGGGTAAAAGGGTTTGTTTTTGTTCCGCTTCTGCTATCATAGTCATAGTGCTTGTACTGGGTTTCGCTTTATTTACCGAATCTTCAGATTTATGCAGAACGGAATTATGACGCCTTTTGCAAAACGAACATCTGCGTTTACTATGACATTGTGATATTACATGCGAGGATTTAAGGCAGTTAAAACACAATTGCGTCTTTCGTACAAATTCAGCGCGATCATTTATTTGTAATTTTAAAAATTCCTCACATTGATTGAGGTAATGTTCTTTATTACAAAAGGGGCATTTCTGTTTTATAGGTGCAGCGAAATGAATTCTCTGAACCGGAATGTTTATATTTGATCGTTGCTCGCGGTTCATATCGTAAGTTGCACAACGCTTTTCTAAAAAGGAAAAAAATTCGTCTAATGACGGTAGATTGTTTTTGGAAATGGATGCACCCCACGCCATTTGGGTATCCATGTCTAGTTTTGGCCTTTAATATAAATATAAATATAAGATCGGAGAGCTCTACTGAGAGTCTCTCGTTTTTGATAGCGGATATGTGCTGTCGGGATTTGCATAAAAAATTTCTTAGTGACTTATGATCTCTATTTTGCGGTTGATTTACAATTTCTTTTAATTGCGCGTTAATTAATATCAATTTATTGTCATAGGTACCCACTAACGTATCCCATGCTATTTGAAAATTCGCTTCTGTGATTGATAAATTTTTTATTAAATTGGAGGCTTCTCTTTGTAGTGAGTTTTTTAAATAGTGCAACTTTTGAGAATTCGTTAATAATTTATTTTCTATAATTAAACTCGAAAACATGTCTCTAAATTCCGGCCATTTAGAAAACTCTCCATCAAAATTCGGCAAATGAATTTGAGGGAGCTGAACTTTAGCTGAAGCTGACTCAGACACATTCTGCGCGCTTGCATTACTTTGTCTACAACCGGCCAATAAATTATCTATTGTAGACAAAATCTTGCAATATTGCGTTTCTATCTCGTCGCGATCGCCCTTCTAACTCATCTTGCGCTTCATTATATTTGTTAAATGCGTCATTGAGAAGCTGCTTACGCGCGTTTAGTTCCGAAATACTCAATTCGGAATCAAATTTTGAAATATAATTTTGTGTCCGCGTTATTTTCGATTTTGCTGATCTGCGCTTTTCAATTAAAATATTTTGATTTTCCATTGTGATGTGATAGCCTTTACAATTCAAATACGGAAAAAATGATTGATAAAATATAAAAGATATACAAAATATAAATGATATACAAAATATAAAAGAAAAATGTTTGTGAAAAAACTATGATAGAGTAACTATAAAATTCAAAAGTCAAGCCTAAACTAATTGGTGAACTTGAACTCTCTATCTCCTTGGAAGATGGCGCCTCTGATGTAAGTAATAGTTTGGAAGCGTACCTCAATGTCTGCGTTGAATCCTCGGGTATACCTGACTTCTGCATGCGCGCCCTTTCGTACGCGACGGATGCTCGGTGCTGGGTTGCGAAATCTCGTGTCTGCAAAAGCGCTGTTGCACACTGCTGCGTTCGGGGGCGGCTCGGTTGCGTTCGTAGGCGCTTCGGTTCTTCAAGGGTGCTTCTTACGCTCGCGGGGATGCTGACGATGGCTAATGGCTACTGACTGAATCCTTTGCAATTTTTTAAATTTTCACTTTTGTTTGGATTTATATCCAACTGCACTGCTTTATTTCAAATGTTTAAATGTTCATCAATTATATTTTAATTACTTTGTTGTATTTTGGTTTAATCACATCACTTTAATGCTTTATGCTGTTAAACACACGTGTTTTTAAATTTGCTTTTGATTATTTATTGATTAACGCACACTGTTTCATAATTTATTTTTAAATTTTCAATAATGGACTGTATTTTGATTTAACTTTGTAACTATTCACTCATTTTCATACTTATTCGGCTCGAATGGACCATTTTATGGGACATTTCCCATAAATGTAAATTTGGGTTTATATTGAAACACACTTTGTAATTCAATAATTTATTTCACTTATTAGTAAGATTTCATAATATTATCTTTGCTTAATTTTGACTGGTTTCGCGAGTCGGGCGGTTAATTATAATAACAAACTTAAGAGAAATTTGACTGCTTTCGCTCGTCATGCGGGTACTTTTTATGTGCTTCCTTGGTGACGCTTAAAGTTGTACTACTTAAAATTATACCTAATATTTGGGTAAATATTTTTTATTGCCCTGTATGAAGCGAACAGCTTTCTGCTTGTACATTGTTGCAGTTTTTGAATATTGGAGCAGCAATTCGCTCCAGACTTTAAATACAGACTATTGTACCTGCCGGTATCAAGTTGTTACATGTATTATATCAAGGATCAAAATCAAAATCAAAGTGGTCAACACTAGAAGCCTAGAAGAATGTATTAGTTCACAGGAAGTTGATAATTCACAGAATGTATTGCTCAATGAGAGCGACAGAACAATTGCAAAAGAGTTGGCAATAGCCAATTCCAAGTTGCAAAGCATTAGTTCTAATTCTTCTAATATGCAAACTGAAGTGAACGTAACATCCAAAATAGTCAAAAGTAAAGTTGAACAAATCAAGGCGTCAACTCCACTTTCTTCTTCCTTTTCCCTACCAACACCCAAAGTACTAATTTTGTCCGACAGTCATGGCAGAATCAGGTCCAGGTCCTAAAGTTAGTGTGTTCGGATTCGTCAAGCCGAGTGCGAGTTTTTCTAGCTTGGTTGCTATCGTCGGGGATCTGGTTGGTAATTTTGGTGTTCAGGATCATGTGTTGTTACGAAACAAACCTTTGTTTTGTTTTCCTTTCTATATGACAATCATGTCTT